GTTCATTGGCACAGTCGCAAGCGTTGTCCATTTATAGCAATGATCAAATCCTGACCACAATTCTGCACTGTTCATCTCACATGCTCTTTTAACAGCTTATTTCTGCACATTCAATGATATATCAATCCTGATTTTTATCCCGTTTAATCATGGGTTCAATCTATCACAATACTCTGCAATTCACCTTGACCAATGTTAGAAGTTCTGCATTTTAATTGTCTTTCGCTGACTTTGACTTTCCCAGTACGTTCTCTTTCATTAATTTCCTCTTCTTATTTTTAGAAATCTCTGGATGATTAATGTTTGTTTATTTTTCATTACTTGAGATTTCTCCTGCCATTCTGTTCTTTTAATGAACAAATTCCTCATGTAATAAGGTAGCCAAAAAGATCCCAAACCCCTTCTCAGCAATGGGATGAAATGTATTATTATTATTATTATTTTGTTATCTGTCACCTGTGTATTATATATCAAGATAACGTGCAATGTTGTAGAACTTTTCTGTGCTGAGTAAATGAATCATATTCTCAGCTAAGCCTTTCCAAAGAAAATTGGCGAAATAAATTTCATCAACATAAACCATTAATTGCTGTTGTTTTGAATCTATGCAAAGCTCCTTCTCATCTCGTCTTTCAGAGATTAGAGTGAGTAGTTTTGTTTTTTAAAAAAAAGCTTGAATCATTTTTCTGTTTTACCGTTTTCAGGCAGTTTGTGCGCATCAATGTCCCACAAACAGCCATGAGTGAATGAGTGAACAATTTTATTTGGGGGATTGTTGGCCAGAACACCAGGAGAAACTCCCTTCTCTTTTCGAATAGTACCATGGGATCTTTAACGGCTACCTACCATAGGCAATGTAATTATAGGTATATTGTCTTGGTCCGTAACTCTGTCTGTCCAGCACCTTGGGACGATCTCCTGTTGTGAAAGACGCTATACAAATGTAATTTGTTGTTGTTGTTGTTGATGAAATTGGAAATAGACAGAAGTTGCTTGCATAAAAGTTCGTTAAAATCTTGTGATGCCTTCTGACCATTGTTCTTGTGTGATGCAATCCATTCTCTGTACTGTAGTGATTCTCTGTGCGCTTAAGAAATTGTTTTACACAGAGGATTGCTAGAATATGAAATGACTCACCACAATAATAATAATCCTTGCATTTAATATAGCGCCTTATCACGTCTTCGAGACATCTCATAGCACTTAAATAGCTGATGACAGCTATTCAACAATGACTGCTGAAGTTCAATCCATAATGGTATTTAAAAAGGAACTGAATAAATATTTGAAGAAATATAATATAAAGTGTTCAGGGAAAGAGCAGTAAATGGGATTGGATATCTCCAGTGGGGAAGTTAGCATGAACATTTCTTTGTTGGGCAGAAGCTGCATTCCAATTTTCCTTATAATAATAATACTTGCATTTGATATAGCGCTTTTCACGTCTTCTAGACGTCTCAAAGCACTTCAGAGAATATACTGTAAAGTGTAGTGACTGAGTGTTTTGTGGGCAAAATGTGGCAGCCAATTGCACGCAGCAGTGTCCCACAAACAGTTGTGGATTGAGTGACCAAATTTTTTTTATTATTCTATTTTTGAACGGATTATTAACCCCAGAAAAGAGATCCGCCAATCGATTAACAACCGGGTTCCTACTTGCTTCTAGGTAAACAATCGCGGATTGAAGTGACCAATTTATTATTGGGTTTTTTTCTTGAGGGATTATTATCAGGCCTGTGGAGTAAGGAAACTTGTCCAAGGTTTTGCCCTGCTGGGAATTGAACCCAGGCCTCTCGCTTGTGAGGCGAGTGCTCTAACCACTGAGCTACAGGACTCCACACACCAATTTTCCTTCACCTTTCATTTCATCAATTTCTCTGACAACTTGCTTGTTCCTTTCAGATAGTGAGATAAGAAGAATGTTGTGGTGAAGAATCATACCTTAAGCATCAATCTATCCTTCTTTTACAAATGCTGACTCACCTGCTGTGTTTCCAGCATTGTCCAAGTTATCCAAACCATCACTGCCCACATTCTCACGTGTACCAAACTCCACATTCTCTATCACCCCACCGGCTCCCTATTGCAAAGCGGATCTATTTCAAAATCCTCAAACTTATTTATAAATCAATTTGTGCCCTAGAACCTCCCCACCTCTCTGACCTGCTGACATCCCACTCCAACACCCCCTCCTTCATTCAGCTGGCTCCAGCTTTCTACCCGTCCGTCGTCCCCTCCACTCCATCATCGGTGGCTTTGCCTTCTGCCACTACACCCTGAAACTCAGGAACTCTCTACCTCAATCCCTCCGACTTGCCCCCTCCTTACCCATCTTCAGATTGCATCTGAAGATTTTCCTCTTGACCATGATTACAGTCACCTCCCTCTCTCCCACCTCTGCCATTGTTAAGCATTCTGAGAAGCTACCTGCATAAAGGGTGCTTTATAAATGCAAGTTGTTGTTAGTGTTGTTGTTTATTTCAGCTTTACAGCATTCGTGGATTTCCTTTGTTACCTCTTTGTCAAAAGTTTTTGAGGGAAACTTCTTTTTTGTTTGGGAAGGAGTGGAGAATGCCAGAGGAAATCTGCTTCTCATCATCCTGTGGCATCATATACAAGTAATGCTACAAGCAATGATTCCAAAGCAATTCATGTGATTGATTCTCTTTTAAACAATGAAAAATGAAATACCAAATACTGTACTGCTTTCATGAAGAGTGCCTACCTTTAAACACTCAAGAGTGATGACCTATAAAGCATTTCAAGTGGTTACAAAACTAGCATTGATGGCTTTAACAAATGTGTAAATGCATCCAGAATAAAAACTGACAGGTTTTAGGTGTCAGCTAATTGTGAACGTAGGCTAAGTTTCATGTTTCACATCATAAGACTGTGAAGGGACCATTTGCAATATAAAAGGTTGTATATAAATTAGCTTAATAGAACTTTGATATTGGTAATAGAAATGTGTAACATTATAGCCTGGTACAATTTTTCCAAAGATGAGTGAGAAAAGTTTCAGGGAGTTAGAACTTTAAACATTCCCAGTTATTTGGCCATTGACTCTAAATTGCTTCTGAAAACATAGATGTTCATGTGCCTCTAACTGAGTATTTCTTTATAAGAAATGCTGAACGTTGCTTTGTAACAGGAATTGTGTAACATGAGGATATGAACCTTGTGTTCCTGATGCAGGAGATCAGTTTCTGTGGAATTTGCATGGAGGCTTTGAAGAATTATCTATTTCAAGCTGCACCCGTTAATTGATACATGGAATTATGACATGTTTATGTTATTTGAATACAAGTTAAGTTGCAAAACTCTTCACTTAGTTTGCAGGTTTTGACCAGCTGGTATCTAGCCAGTTGCTCGTAGTCTGATTTAAAAAAGGGTTTGTGAAGGTAGGAAGAAATTATTTAATGATACCCTCACGTTGCTTGACTGATCTGTTCACAATGCAATCATTATGTATTTACTGGTATTTGTGACCTTAAGCTGATCCCTTCACAAAAAATACAATCCAATGTCTTTGTAATGTCAAAAACATTTTTCAAGCTGCAAGATATCACGTCTATAGAACAGTATGAAATGAAAATGAGGAATCAATGTTCAGCCAGAAACATAACTCAGCAAGTCTGATAAGATGATAAGTATAAAGAGTGATTTCAAAGCATCAGTGTAACATGATTGTTTATAGAATTACATAGAACATTATAGCACGGAAAGAGGCATTGACCCAACTGGTCTGCTCTAGTGTTTATAGTCCACCACAAGCCCCCACCCTTTCTATATCCTCTTCTACATCCCTCTATTGCCATCTCCCTTATGTATGCATTGTTTCCTCTTATAATAATAATCCTTGCATTTGATATACTGCCTTTTCACGTCTCCAAGACATCTCAAGGTGCTTCACAGAATATATTGTAAAGCGGATTTACTTTATATTTTGTGGGTGAAACATTATTTATATATTTGGTTATTCCTTCCGCTTGGCTAATTCGGAAATGATATGCAAGATAGAAGCAGGAGATCAATAAAAGGTTAAGGGAGTATGTTTGTGAGCATAAGGTACAATTTAATATTTGATTATTTATTATTAAATCAGACCAGAGTCCAGAGGAGGTCAAAAAAGCACATCTCTCCCGTGCATGCTCTAAGCTAGGTCAAGGCGATGGACTCCTAAACCTGTAAGTCTGTCTCCGAGGTAGTGAATAATATCAACATTAACAAAATAAGTGTTCGGATACTTCTTTTTATAAGACCCAATATCTGAATTTATAGCTAGAACGGCTGGCTGACTCTTGGATAAATAGGAACCAACTTGATATAATTAACAAAGGATGGGGGTTCATTTAAATTATTTTTAGAGTGAAAATTGAAAGCCTGTGACGGTTAATTCTTGGAACATGAAAAAAAATTCGAAGGAGCTGAGACTGGCTTAAGAGTTCCTGATCTGATCAATCTTCTGTTGTGTGTTAAGCTATAAAGCTGTGGTATCTATGCTTGCATGTTATAGTTAATACAATACTGGGCATTGAGGTATGATGTGTGTGATTTTCTAATGGGATTCATTGATAAGAAAACTGGAAAAATATTCCTCTTAAATACATAGATTATAAATGCATTTTGCTGTAACCGTCTCTTTCAACAGTGAGTTTCACATTCTGATTATGCTCTGCGTTAAGTTCCTCCCAAACTCTCTATTAGATCTATTATTTGGTATCGTATAGGCCCACTCATTTTGGACTCACTAAAAAGAGGAAAATACCTAGCAATTTGCATCTTATCAAACCCTTTCATATTTCTACTATAAATGGAAGCCAGTCAGGACTGTAGGTATGAAGGATGAATATGCAGAATAAGGACCTAGTGATTGTCTGGAGCTTTGCTTTGTTAGCTTTTGAGATTGATGGAATAAAGTGGACATTAGAGAGCAACTGAGGTTGAGAGAAGGAAAAAAGAGTATTTTGGGGTAGTTGTGAATGGACTGAACAGGCTTGATTGGTCATATTGCCTTTATTCATTTTGTGTTTTATTTCCTTAAAAGCATGTGGTTCAAACATAACAACTTTCAGTGATTTAAACAGGTTTCTCTAAAACCTTTCCTGCCACCTTCCAGTATATTAGTGTATTACAATACATAATAAATTAGAGCTTGCTTTGTAACCTCACCTATAAATCCCTTCATGTCCTACCTTATCTTTATGATCTTATATCTGGGAATTTCTTCTGCTTGGCTAACTCAGGAATGATGTGCAACACAGAAGCAGGAGATAAATAAAAGGTTAAGGGAGAATGTTTGTGAGCATAAGGTACAATTTAATTTTTGATTATTTTGCTGTCCATTCTCTTCCAATTTATATTAAAAATTCTACTTCAATCGGTATGTGTCTAATCAAATCAATCATGGTATTCAAATAACTGGATACCCTGTTTTAAGTTAGATCAGAATTCTTTGTTTTAAATGCAGACACAAAGGCATATTTGCAAACTTTGAACAACCACTACCACTTAGATTTAATGAACAAGGTTTTTTTTAATCAAATTCCAAATTGGTGAATAGCTATCAATTTGTTTTTTTTCGTGCAGCATCACAAAGGCATATAAAATATTGGTAAAACTCTCAAATCACAAGAATATAACTCTTATAGGTGGAAATTCAACATATATTTTCAGTCACACTCGTAAAACTCTGAATCACACATCATCCAAAATTAGAAACTTCATCACAAAAGTACTTCAACAACTTTTCAAACACACACCAAAATAAGTCTATAATCGTTTATAATAATAAACAGAATAGGCATTGCATACAAGGTTATTAACTACCCACATGAAATCTTAAGTGTATTTCAATTCTTGATAGATAAGACTTACTAGCCAGGAACCAGAGCATTTGATTTCTACTAACCTGTGGATCGATCAATCACAGCACAGCACTGAAAATCAGTACAGTAACTTTGCTTTCCCCAGCTACAACAGTTGAGTTACAGAAACATAATTCTTAAATAGTTTTATCTGATAGCATAGTGTTTTAGGAAAACAGCTATATAAACTCCACCACTTTGTTAAATCTGACCAGTTAAACAATCCGAATCATTTTAATACACTGTAAATTAATGCATTCTTTGGTATAATTGCAACATCTCTCGCTCTACTATGAAGCCAATTATCAATTGCATGAAATAAGCTTCATAAAGGTTTTCAGAATACATACCAAAAAGTGAGCAAGATACCAATAGGTTAGCATCCACAGTGTTGCAGTGACAGGCAGTTCTCAGTTCTTTTCCCCCCATCACCATCCCCCAATCGAGCAAGAGTGAGTCTTAAGTCCCTGTGCTTGAAATACTGTACTTATGAATTACAGATCGGCCACAATTTGGAAAGGATTGCTGCATGTACCAAAATGTAACATAGATTTAGAGATTTACCGTTTTACATCCCGATAATCCAGTCCATTAATGTAGCAATTTATTATAGATTTTAATAGAATTTTGAAAAAAATAGAATATTGCACCCAATGACCATGCATTTCTGTTTGGAATATGGTTCTAATCATAGCTGTCCTGAGGCAAATCAAGATTGATGGCCCACTAGAGTTTATTTGAAACTTGGGTGTCTATAAAGTTTCCAATTTGAAATTGAACTATCACATGCATAATCTCATAAACTGCAGAATTCATACTCTAGCAACGGAGACTTGTCCACATTTTGCATATATTAAAACACTTCTAGTCTGTATAACCAGGGTTCATCTTCATTTCTTGATTATTAGACTCATCCAAGGGTGATGTCACCTGTGACCATCAGAATTGCGGTCCTTGCTATATCAGCATTGCAAACTTTCCAGTTTCTTTGTGGTTGCTGCCTCCACTACTTCTCCAGACATGAACTGATCCTGAAGCAAAAGCAAGACATTAGAACACATCACACAACAACAGAGATACAACATACAATTTTGACTAAGACAATTTTTTGCTGAAACATGTTTGTTGGAAGTTTACAAACTCCCTGCCACAACAGCTCTGGATTATATGCTGCTTTAGGGCTCCCTCTGGTGGAAATGGAAATCAATGAATCTCAGGATCAAATCCACTGTTTGCTGTTAACTCGGAAATCTACTCCAGTTTGAGTACCAAAATCTAAATAGTCGCCTCAAGCAACAAAGTGGGATAAAAAGACGCCCTCTGGCATGTCAGGTATGTCCTCTTTTAACAGTGAATGTCTTCCTTTCACTCTCACCACCCCACTGGTTGTGTTCACCTCAACAACTTCATTGGTTGCTGCAAGCATATTTTTTAAAAACAGATTTCCATTCCACGTCGTGTGGGAGAGGTACTGCTTATGCTTCAGTTAAGTTTCGAGACTGCAATTCCTAAACGTTATATAGATATGTCAAAGGATTGGCAAACACAACAGGTGTGATAGGGACATCCTCCTGACGTGAAAGGCGCAATACAAATCTAATTTGTTGTTGTTCAAGATCCTGGCTGTCACCTTCAAAGCCGTCTTGCTCCCCCCTACCTCTCCGACCTCGTAACCCGCTTCATGTCCCCCACCTTGCTCACCCCATTATTGGCAGACGGGATTTCAGCCACTCTGCACCCACCTTCTGAAACTCCATCCCGCAGTCTCTCCGTCTCACCCCCTCCCTTGCCACCTTCAAGACCCACCTAAAGACCTTCCTCTTCGACCGTGCTTTCGATCTCCCTGCTTCCCCCCCTGCCCTCCACCCTCCCCCACCCCGACCCCCAGCTCGGGTCCATAACTCGGCCTGTTCAGCACCTTGGGACGTCCTCCCGACGTGAAAGGCACTTTACAAATGTAATTTTGTTTTTGCTGTTGTTTATGAATACAGCTCATGCCTTGGACGTTTTTTTGGCTAGCCAGGTATGTGACATGCAGAAACCGATCACCATGCTGATGGGTATCCAAACCGAGTTCCACATATGTATGCCACTTACACACAGAAATATGCCCGTGTCTGCAATGGAGTGTGCACTCTCTAAAGGGACGCACTAGAGGATTGACTCCATGGAGACATTCACTCGCCAAATACGTCACTTTGGAGCCAGCTCAGCTCCAAGGGGACCCTGTTTACCTATACCCCGAGGAGGATTTCTTCATAACGTTGATTTTGTTATGTTTTTTACTGACAGGTGTACAACTGAGAGCTTATAAATGAGGACGTTTATAACCTGTTTTATCATCTTATAATAATAATGCTTGCATTTGATATCGTGCCACATCAAGTCTACGAGGCATCTCAAAGCACTTCACAGAATATACTGTAAAGTGAATTGGCTGTATTTTGTGGGTGAAACGCGACAGTCAATTGTGCACAGCAGTGTCCTACAAACAGTCGTGGATTACGTTGAGCTGAATGTCATACTTATTTTCCAAATAATTTGATTAGAATTATTTTTATAAGCAAGTTTATGTTCGCCTCAAAATTTATTTTATTTTTTAAATTATCATTGTAATAAATACCTTCTAACTTACCTTATCGTAAATGACTCGAACTATTAAAGAGCAACTAGGGCATGTTGCCACATCTTCCCCATTCTCCAGATCTTCCTGAAAGACAAAAAGCATCTATCAAGTTTCTAATCAATTTCGAAAACATGTAATGGTCAGGGAAATCTTCCTTTACACACAATTACCATCACTGAGAGATACATTTTCCTATAGAGTTTCCAACTCCCTGACCAGGCAGTATTTGAAAAGAGAAGTGAGTTTCTCCTGGTGTTTTTACTGACAGCTCCTCTAGCTAAAAAATGAACATTCACTTTGTGGCTTTTGTGGAACATTGCTATGCACAAATTGGTTAGTGTTTGCCTACAAATAAACAGTCACTACACTTCACAGTAAAAATCCTGAGAAATATTTTGAAAAAATAACATGATAAGCTGCTATAAGCTGTTGTTGTTGTTGTATATCAAATGCAAGGTTTATTTAACAAAAAATGTTAGACAGCACCTCTTCAGTTAAAAGACATCACACACTTATTCAGTTACTGTCACTGCCAGCCATACTCTGTGCACATGTCAAGCCACTGTTTAGTTTATGGGAGTTTCCAAACATTTTCATTAGCAGTTGGCATTTCAGATCAGCAAGAAGGCTGAGATGGAGTTCCTCGAGCTACCCAAGTGTATACTTCAAATATTATCTGCATTAAAGGTAAATTAACATTTGGGTTTTCATCATACTATAATGGAAAACAAACAACATTTCTATAAAATCTTGGTTAGACCACATTTGGAGTACTGTGTGCAGTTCAGTTCACCATAATGCTGGAATAACATTACAACAACTTGCATTTATATAGTGCCCTTCACGCAGGGTAGTGACTCAAAATGCTTATAACATTAGATCCAGTGCAGCAGAAGCTCCCAGGGGATACTACCAGGGATGGATGAATGCATTTCATCCCAAGAAAGACTGGAGATTTTTCCTCTGGAGATGAGATAATTAAGACGAGATGTTATAAAGGTGGTTAAGATTATGGAAGTATTCATTAAAGGTGGACGCTGGCAGTCCGTTTCCCTTTGGTGAAGAGTCCAAAACGAGGAGCCATAAAGATAGTAGCAGATCTAAAAGGGAGTTTAGGGGAACTTCTTTATGTAGAGGGTGGTAAGAATAGAGTATTTCACGTCAGGAGTAGGTCAGCATCCAGACTAGTTGAGCCATAAATGTCTCATTTCCATGCTGTACATTCTGTATAATTATTTGTCTCAAAGCTCTTCACAGGATTTACTGTAAATCAGAAGGACATCCCAAGGCGCTGGAAACAAATTCACGTACGCGTAAACGTCAGTTAGCCGGAATAATAGGGGAGGGATTCGGCAAGTCGGTATTTCCGGCAGTGTGCAATTACAATGCCTTCACCACTATTTACCAGCAATTTGAAAAATGCCAGTAAATGCCGGTATCGGCATTGCAATTGTTTGAAAATCCCACAAGCAGAAGATAGCTTATAAAGTATATTTTGCTCACGAGATTCAAACAACTCGAGTCAAAGTCGATATCCCTGAAAGCCAGCAAGGTTGGCGAGTCTGTTCAGCGGGGTGTTGGCAAGCGCTAGGAGAGAGTCTGCATGCGCAAGCTGCAGAATTCTTTTGAAAAGCATTTTTTGGGGGGGTTTCTGGCCTGGTCCAGCAAGATCCAAATTCCAGACACCTGATAAGCGGTGGGTTTACTATATATTCCTTAACCCATCCCATGATAGACTTCTGGCTGACAGGCCGGTTTCCTGCACTGACTGACCACTTTCCTGCGCACAGTGTCAGCAGCATCTTCGCAACCACTGGACATGCTCGCAAGAGCGGCCGCCGGCACGATCTGGTTAGCTCAGCAGCGAGTTGACAACTAGGAACCGTAGAATTATACAGCAGAGAAAAGGGAGGCCATTCGGCCCACCGTGTCTGTGCCGGCTCCACCCAAATCAACCCCACTCCCCCCGCGCTCTCCCTCCCCCACGGCCCTCCCTGCAAACTTGTCCTTCCCCGAATAATTATCCGCTTCTCTCTTGAAAGGTGTTACCGCATCGGCTTCCATCGCCCTTTCAAGGCGGTGCATTCCAGATCGGCGCAACTCGCGGCGTGAAACCAAATCCTCCTCACCCTCCGCTGTGTTTCACAAGTGCTGTCTGAGGGCCTTTCCTTCAAATATAAAACTGTCTGTAAGTTGGGCTCTGATTTCCTGGGGCTCAAAAACTACCAGTGGATAACAATGTCCATCTGTATGAGGCTCTGTGTGAGTTGGCGATCAGTTATTGCGAGTAACGGGTCCAAACAATACTACTCAATAATACAATAATAATAATAATAATAATACGGGGCAGTGAGCGCGGCTCCCGGGGCAGTGAGGCGCGGCTCCCGGGGCAGTGAGGCGCGGCTCCCGGGGCAGTGAGCGCGGCTCCCGGGGCAGTGAGCGCGGCTCCCGGGGCAGTGAGCGCGGCTCCCGGGGCAGTGAGGCGCGGCTCCCGGGGCAGTGAGGCGCGGCTCCCGGGGCAGTGAGCGCGGCTCCCGGGGCAGTGAGCGCGGCTCCCGGGGCAGTGAGTGAGGCGCGGCTCCCGGGGCAGTGAGCGCGGCTCCCGGGCAGTGAGCGCGGCTCCCGGGGCAGTGAGTGAGCGCGGCTCCCGGGGCAGTGAGGCGCGGCTCCCGGGGCAGTGAGCGCGGCTCCCGGGGCAGTGAGTGAGCGCGGCTCCCGGGCTGCAGGCCCAGACCTTGCTGATGGTGAAGCGGTCTCCGCACGGACACGGGTAGGTGTAGGCCTCCGCCTCCTCGTCATACTCGAAATCCTCGATCTCCACCTCGTCATGGAAAACAGACATGACGGCGGCTCAGCCCCGGCCCCGGGGGGGGGAGAGGACAGGCCCGGCCCCGGGGGGAGAGGACAGGCCCGGCCCCGGGGGGGAGAGGACAGGCCCGGCCCCGGGGAGGGGGAGAGGTCAGGCCCGGCCCCGGGGGGGAGAGGACAGGCCCGGCCCCGGGGGGGAGAGGACAGGCCCGGCCCCGGGGGGAGAGGTCAGCCCCGGCCCCGGGGGGGGGGAGAGGTCAGCCCCGGCCCCGGGGGAGAGGTCAGCCCCGGCCCCGGGGAGGGGGAGAGGTCAGGCCCGGATCCGGGGGGTGAGAGGCTCAGGCCCGGCTCCGGGGGGGAGAGAGGTCAGGCCCGGCTCCGGGGGGGAGAGAGGCTCAGGCCCGGCTCCGGGGGGAGAGGCTCAGGCCCGGCTCCGGGGGGTGAGAGGCTCAGGCCCGGCTTCGGGGGGTGGGGAGCGGGTGAGGCTCAGGGGGGGAGAGAGAGGCTCAGGCCCGGCGTGTGTGTGAGAGGCTCGGGGTGGGGGAGAGGGTGAGGCTCGGGGTGGGGAGCGGTGCGGGTGAGGCTCGGGGTGGGGAGTAGGTGAGGCTCGGGGAGCGGTGCGGGTGAGGCTCGGGGAGCGGTGCGGGTGAGGTGCGGGTGAGGCTCGGGGTGGGGAGCGGTGCGGGTGAGGTGCGGGTGAGGCTCGGGGTGGGGAGCGGTGCGGGTGAGGCTCTGTCTGTAACCCGCTGTCGCCCTCAGGGCCAGAAATGATAATGAGTTTGTAGCCCAATGTTACACGTTGCCTCCTGTGAGCAGCAGAGTGACGAGTTTAGTGCTTTTCAAACAGTGTAAGGAAGTGTTTTCGGGGGGTGGGGGGGGACCGTGTTTTTCAGGTTAAAATAAAAAAATATTACCCACCCACCCAAACCCGTGCTTTCCCGCACAACAACACAAAACCCGCCCCACACTGGTTGGCACTTGTTGCACTAACATCGGACCTTCATCCTAATAAACACAAATACAATGCAAAATTGGATTTGTGTAGCGCCTCTCACATCAGGAGGACGTACCAGCGCAATCATAACAATACTTTCATTTGATTTGGCGCCTTGCCACGTTCTCGAGGCGTCTCAAAGCGCTTCGCAGGATGTACCGTGAAGCGAACTGACTTTTATTTTTTGTGGGCAAGACGCCGCGACAGCCAATCGCACACAGCGGCGTCCCACAAACAGTCGTGGATTAAGTAACCAATTTTTTTTAAAAAGGGCTTACTACTCCCCGGTAAAGCGATCCGGCAATGGATTAACAACTGGCGCCTCACTGCAAGGTAAACAGAAGCACGTGGAGTAAGAAAACGTTTCGCCCTCCCGGGAATCAAACCCAGGTCCTCTCGCTTGCGAGTCAAGTGCTCTAACCATAGGACCTCTGACTTACCCCTCTCCTCAGTTAAAATGTGTAAACTTTGAAGTACTCAATGTATTGTTTCCATCATAAACTATAAGACTTTCTAGTTAATGTATAATATTGACATTTATTTATTACCATATTTATTAAGAATTATTGTAACATTTATAAATAATATATACAAGAGCTGGGCCTGATAATATATTTGTGTGTGTGATATGTATATATATTTTTTAGAACTATATATAATTTATTACAGTTTGAAAATATTTATATTATAGTTAATATCTATCTGATATTTACTGCCAAATTGTTTCAGATTAATCTTGTTTATCTTTGTTGTTTTCATCTTCCTCCAGTCCTACCAAATAGCACACCTCCCAACATTTCAAGAGGCTAAAGAAGGATACAGTAAAACAAATAAATGTAGTTGCCTACGCAAACTCCGACTGCTTCCGTTACCCTGTAGAGTGTTCCTTTTGGCTGGACAAACTAATATATATACCAGATTTTGCCTTTTTGCACAGTTCAAGTGATGGCTTCCACTTGTGACATTTCAGGAATATTGATTTTCGCTGCCAGTATAGCGCATAGTGTTTCCTCACCATTGTTGTCTCTTGATACACATTGGACATGGGTTGCTGTGTGAGAGGGTTTTTTCCCAATGAACTTCTCGTATTGGTTATTATTTTCCGTACTATGCTGAATAGTCTTTCACATGAAATGTTGCTGTGGGGATTAAACAAATTAATTTTACAAATTTTGAAACCATAGAGAATCTTGCCTGGCCACTTACTGTTTATTTTATATCAAATTCATCAATTCTCATAGTGCTGTCATATTCAGGAAATGTGTCATAGATTTGATAATCCCTCAATTCGGAAAACAGATGATTCATTTGTTATGCACTGATCACATCAGGAAATCAATAAATCATTGCCTCTATATCACGGAAAGATGCTGATACATGACTGGTTAGATTAATAAAAGAACATAAGAAATAGGAGCAGGAGTAGGCTGTTTGGATCCTCAAGCCTGCCCCGCCATTTAATAAGATCAAGGCTGATCTTCCAGCCTAATTCCATTTACCTGCCCTATCCCTTAATCCCTTTAGTTTTTAAAAATCTATCTATCTCCGAATACATGGCACTTTGCAATACCCGTGTGAAGAAAATTGTGAAGCATGTGAAAATGCACTAGCTTTCTTTGGAGAGATCCATTAAATGTTCCTTGGCTCCTTGAGATGTGCTATCCTCCTACATTGTCAGTACCTTTGATGAGGATGAGCAAAGAGGTGCAAAAGACAGACGTCTAAGTACAGGATCTTCTAAAGGCTTTGCCTTTCTCATGTAATCCAGTCCTTTGCTGAAAAAATTGCACAAATTCAACCAAGAATATTTGATATGATGTTGTATCAGTTATGTTTACTTTTCTTGCATAGTTATTTGTCTCAAAGGTCACAAACGCTTCAGACATTCGGAACTGTATACAAGAATCAATGTAATTTAATTCCGTAACATTTATATTTGTAGCTATCACAAGGTTGACAAATCTCAAAAGAACATCTTTGGATAGCATCATCACTGCTGGGTGCAAAAGGTGAATCATCGGTGCTTCAATTTGGAGGAGTAAGTTGAACTTGTTAAACATGGGCAGCAAAAAACAATAAATACACTTTCATCAAAGGATTCTTTAAGCTCGTCAGCATTCTTACTGCCCATGGTAAAGCAATGAGGAGTGGAGGCATAATGGGACAGGACACCCACTTGACATGGTAATCTCAGAATTTGGAATTCATTTTCTGTATTTTCTCACAATTAGACTATGATTACACTTTTCTGTTACCACTGAGCCATACCGGCCAGAATATTGTAAGTTCAATTCCATATTTGTGCTGAGTTAGCTGCTAATAGCCAAGGCAATAGTTGGGAGTTGTTCAATTGCCCTTCGCATCCCTGTACTTGGGAGAAGAAAATCAACAACAACAAATTGCATTTATATTGCGCTTTACGCGTCAGGAGGACGTGAAATCACCCAGGATTCATAGTTCTGATTGCTGTTCAACAAATTTCATTCAATATGGATATGTGGACATCAGGTAAGCATAGGTTTGGGTCTGTGATAATAATCCTTGCATTTGATATAGCGCTTTTCATGTCTTCTAGACGTCTCAAAGCGCTTCACAGAATATACTGTAAGGTAAATTTACTGTATACTAGTGGGCGAAACCCGGCAGCCAATTACATACAGCAGTGTCCCACAAACAGTCGTGGATTGAGTGACCAAATTATTGTTTTTTTTGAAGGATTATTATACCCAGAAAAGCGATCCAGCAATCGACTAACAACTGGATTCCTACTTACTGCCAGGTAAGCAGAGACGTGGAGTAAGGAAACTTGCCCAACATTTCGCCCTGTTGGGAATCAAACCCAGGTCTCTCGCTTGCAAGGTGAATGTTCTAACTACTGAGCTACAGGACTCCACAAACCTCTGCTAGCCACAGTCAAATTTCTTAGTGACATTCAATGTCTCGGCCAAAACATGTAAAATGACTATTTTGGTGTTGCTGACCCCAATGGAACTTCAGTATACCCAAACAGGAGCAAGTGCACATAGGATAGGAAGTGAGAATATTGGGAAAAAAATTCTTAGGAACTTTATAATTTGCACTTGTATTGTTCACTAAAATAGACCGTAATATTTCTCTTTAATAAAACCCAGGGCATGAGAACTCCTGTGAATTCTGGCGCCCGATTAGCAAACTAAATTGCTCCAGATACCCAGGTTCTTTAGGAATTATGCTTAACCATAATGTTTCCTATTGTTGAGGTGGCATTGCCTCCCTGTCCATATTTCTTAGGAAAAATCACAGAGCTATAAAGCATAGCAAATTTTCTCTCAGATACTTTATATTAGTATAATGGCTGTGTGTACATCAGGTAAGCATAGGTTTGGGTCTGTGATAATAATAATCCTTGCATTTGATATAGCGCTTTTCATGTCTTCTAGACGTCTCAAAGCGCTTCACAGAATATACTGTAAGGTAAATTTACTGTATACTAGTGGGCGAAACCCGGCAGCCAATTACGCACAGCAGTGTCCCACAAGCAGTCGTGGATTGAGTGACCAAATTATTGTTTTGGTGTATAGTGTAATTAATATGTATAGTATTTCATAAGTTTCATCCTCCGATATACTGGATGGACTCTTAATTGTAAAGAACCACCTTGAGACATGGAGACTTTTATTTAACTGGCAAAGACTTGGAGTAACTCAGCATGCTTTTATGCAGCTTTCAAGCAGTATCATTGAAATGCTGTGCTGGGCACCATTTATCCAATAATTTCTATTGTGGGTACACACCATATTAATTCCACCAGAGGGCACAAGTAATGAAATAAAACTAAATTGTTGGAAATGCGCAGCAGGTCATAGGATAATCCAGATAAAATTGGTCATTCACTTCACAGCTGTTTGTGGGACATTGCTATGGGCAAATTGGATGCTGTCACTATTACAGCTATTATCTGTGAAACATTTTTCTGTTATAGGCACAATATCAAATGAAGGATAATTGCTCATTTAATCATTTTGGGTGAAGAAAGCCTTTTGGCCCATTTGATCATATCCTTCCAGAATATCCTTCCAGTTATATTGTTTTCCCATCATCAAGTTACGTTTATTAAAATGAGTCCAGTCTCTTGCCTCAATCACTTCCTGGTAACACTTTCCAGCTGCTAGTCACCCTCTGTATAAAGAAATACACCTTGGTGTCTATCCTAAACTTGCCCTTTCCCCAACTCTGTTTCAGATGGGACCCTTTAGAAGAGAACAGTAAGTACACGTGTTGTAGAGACTGTCTGTAATAAACAGCAAAAGTTGTAAAAAGTGTGGCTTTCAGCCTTTGAATAGTGCCTATATAGTACCTTTGAAGTCAGGAGGACGTCCCAAGGCGCTGGACAATGAGGGCTTTGCCTTCGATCAGAGAAAAGTGTAGTGTAAGGGGTGGAGAGGGGGGGAAATGACTGAAGGCACGCTTGAAAAGAAAGATCTTTAGACTGGCCTTGAAGGAGGCCAAAGAGGGGAGGTGGCGGAGGGGCTCTGGGATGGAGTTCCAGAGGATGGGGGAAGAAAGGCTGAAGGCCCTACCGCCAATAGTGTAGCAGGCAGGGCGAGGGACATAGAGCAGCCAGTGCCGGCAGAGTGGAGGGAACGGATAAGCTGGTGAAGTTTTAATAGGTCGCAGGAAGAACAAGACCATGGAAGGCTTTCCAGGTGAGGACAAGGATCTTATACTCAATCCAGTGAAGCTGGGCAAGGATGAAGATGATCGGCTCACAAGCTGCAGAGTTCTGCACAACAAGAGACCTGGGTTTATGAAGGGCAAATTTAGAACAGATATCAGGAAGTAGGATAGACACTGGAAAGTATTTGTTTATACAGAAGGCAATCAGCAGCTGGAACAAGTTATAAGGTTGCATAATGACAACCAGAATATTCAACACATTTGGAAACAGCATGATTCTATAGTGGGAAGAAAGTAGGGTGGGTATTTTGAAAAGATTTAAATAGACTGAACCATACTTCCATAGGTTTTCAACCGAATTAAGCCTCTCTTGCAATTTTGTGTCGAGATTTTGTAAAATGGATTAGATTTATATGTAAACTAGAACATAAAGTACATTTTAATATACCTAATACATTACAAACTTACATTTGTAAAGCGCTTTTAGTGTTGGGAGGACTTTCCAAGGTGCTGGATAGTCTGCAATTAGGACCCAAGCCGGGGGGGGATAAGCGAATGTAGGAGAATGGCTGAAGGCACGGTCGAAGAACATAGGATCAGGAGTAGGCCATTCAGCACTTCGAGCCTGTTCTGTCATTTAATTAGATCATGGCTGATCTGTACATCAACTGATCCTTTCCATTCCAATTTTCCACTTCCTTCCCATATCCCTTAGTAAGTACCCTGACCTACCAAAAATCTATGAACTTCACTCTTGAAGGTGTGGATGGATTCAGCATCCATGGGCTTTTGGGGGAGAGAATTCCAGATTTCTACCACCCTTTGAGCAAATAAAAAGCTTCCTGATTTCACTCTTGAATGGCCTGGTTCTAATTTTAAAACTATGCCCCCTTGTTTTGGATTCCCCATCAGAGGAAATAGCTTCTCTGTAACTACACTATCAAATCCCTTTATCATCTTAAGTACCTCAATCAAATCACCCCTCAAACTTCTAAACTCAAGGGAATATAATCCAAGTTTACACAGCCTTTCCTCGTAACTTAACCCTTTATAGTGCAATTATCTGTTCCACATTTGTTTCTGTTCCATCTCCCAATAGGCATCAAACCAAACATGTTAATCGGTGCAAGATCTTATATATTTGTATTAAACTAAATTGTACGGAATTTTTACAGACTTACGTTTTCATGTTTCAATGTTAGAAATGCTATGCAAATGATTTTAATATGTGCACATCTGCATGGTCTGCTCAACAATCTGTTCTGTGCATAATTCAACTATGTTAATATCAAAACCCATTGTATGGTTTTCTACAATATAACTCATTATTTCCTGGAACCACAATATTTTTGGAAGCCCTTAGTTTCCTGAGTTGACTCTTCAATCTATAATCTTTTAAAACCTAAACCTGAAATTACCTGACCAAATAATCCGTGACATATCACCCTCTCTCCTGCTTTTTTCAGCCTTGGTGGTGGTGTCCTGCACTATGGACAATTTGCATCACAATTTCTCAATTCAACAAAA